CAGTTGTTATTTCCCCTTTTTCATTTGTAATTTTATTTGAGTCCTTTCTCTTTGTTTCTTGATGAGTCTGGCTAGAGGTTTATCAATTTTGTTGATGTTTTCAAAGAATGAGCTCTTACTTTCATTTAACTGCTGTTTTTTTTTTTAAATTTTTTTTGTCTTCTATATCATTTATTTCTGCTCTCATCTTTATTATTTCCTACCTCCTGCTGGTTTGGGGTTTTATTTGTTCTTTTTTAGCTCCTTTAGGTGCAAGGTTAGGATGTTTGAGATTTTTCTTGCTTCTTGAGGTACTGTTGTGGTAAAGATGCATGTTTTGACTTTGGTCCTTCTGAATTTGTTGAGACTTGTTTTGTGGCCTAATTAATATGTGATCTATTCTGGAGAATGTTTCATGTGCACCTGAAAAGAATATGTATTCTACTGTTTTAGGATGGAATGTTCTAAATATATCTGTTAAATCCACCTGGTCCAATGTGTCATTCAAAGCCACAGTTTTGGGTGCCTGAGTGGCTCAGTAAGTTAAGCATCTGCCTTCGGCTCAGGTCATGATCTCAGGGTCCTGGGATCGAGTCCCACAACGGGCTCCCTGCTCAGCGGGGAGCCTGCTTCTCCCTCTCCCTCTGCCCCTCCTCCCCCCTCGTGCTCTCTTTCTTGCTCTGTTCTCTTTCTCAAATAAATAAAACCTTTTTTTTAAAAAAAGCCACAGTTTCCTCATTGAATTTTTGTTTGGATGACCTATCCATCAATAAGAGTGGTGTTATGTTCCCTACTATTATTGATTATTGAATAGTTCCTTTGTGTTTGTTATAACAGTTTTATGTGTTTGGGTGCTCCTGTGTTGGGTGCATAAATATTTACAATGGTTGTATCTTCTTGTTGGATTGTCCCCTTTATTATTATATAGTGTCTTTCTCTGTCTCTTGTTACAGTCTTTATTTTGACATCTATTTTGTCTGAGAGAAGTATTGCATCTCCAGCTTTCTTTTGACATCCATTTGCACAATAAATGTTTCTCCATCCCCTTGCTTTCAATCTGCAGGTGTCTTTAAGGTTTAAAATGAATCTCTTGTAGACAGCATATACATGGGTCTTGTTTTTTTATTCATTCTGCTACCCTGTATCTTTTTTTTAAAGTTTATTTAAGTAAGTCTACACCCCACATGGGGCTTGAACTCACAACCCCGAGATGAAGAGTTGCATGGTCTTCTGACTGAGCCACTGGAACGTTTAGTCCATTTACATTCAGAGATTACTGATAGTTATATATTTATTGCCATTTTATTACTTATTTTGTGGTTGTTTCTGAAGTTTTTCTTTCTTCTCTTTCATGGTTCGCTGGTTTTCTTTAGTGATTTATTTGGATTTCTCTTTATTCTTTGCATATTTGTTAGTGGTTTTTGATTTGTGGTTACTATTAGCTTTTTTTTTTTTTTTTTAAGATTTTATTTACTTGGGGCACCTGGGTGGCTCAGTCCTTAAGCATCTGCCTTCAGCTCAGGTCATGATCCCGGGGTCCTGGGTTCGAGACCCGCATCGGGATCCCTGCTTGGCGGGAAGCCTGCTTCTCCCTCTTCCACTCCCCCTGCTTGTGTTCCCTCTCTTGCTATGTCTCTCTCTGTCAAATAAATAAAATCTTAAAAAATCTTAAAAAAAAAAAAAAGAATTTACTTATTTGACAAAGAGAAAGCGAGCACAAGCAGGAGAGCTGGAGAGGGAGAAGCAGGCTCCCCGCAGAGCAGGGAGCCCAATGCAGAGCTCGAACCCAGGACTCCAGGATCAGGACCTGAGCAGAAGGCAGATGCTTAACCGACTTAGCCACCCACGTGCCCCCTATTAGGTTTTTATATAACATCTTCTGCATATATGTCTATATTGAGTTGATGGTTGTTTAAGTTTGGACCAACTCTTTACTCCTCTTCTCCCTATGTTTTAGGTATATGGTATCATATTTCACATCCTTTTATTTTGTGAGTTCCTTGACTGAGTTTTTACTGAAATGTTCTTTTTACTGCTTTGTGTTTCCTACTTTCAGAGTGTCATTTCTGGTCTTTCCCTTCCACTCAAAGTGCCCCCTTAATATTTCTTGCAGGGCTGGTTTAGTGGTCATGAACTCATTTTTTGTCTGGGAAACTATCTCTCCTTCTATTTTGAATGACAGCCTTGCTGGATAGAGTATTCTTGGCTGAAGATTTTTCCCATTTAGCCCTTTGAATATATCATGCCATTCCCTTCTAGTTTGAAAAGTTTCTACTGAAAAGTCTGCTGAAGGCCTTATGGGGTTTTTCCTTGTATGTAACTATCTTCTTTTGTCTTGCGGCTTTATTTTTTCTTTATCACTACATTTTGCCATTTTAATTACAATATGTCTTAGTGGGGATCTGCTTTTGTTGATTCTGTTGGGGGGGTTCCCTCTGTGCCTCTTAGATCTGGTTATCTGTTTCCTTCCCCACATTAGGGAAATTTTCAGTATTATTTCCTCAACTAAATTTTCTGCCCCCTTTTCCCTCTCTTCTGGGATCTATATAATATGTTATGTCTGATGGAGTCAATGATTTCCCTAAGTCTATTCCTGCTTTGCATAATTTCTCTTTTCTTAAACTTGATTACTTTCCAATACTCTGTGTTCTAAGTCATTAATTCATTCCTCTGCTTCTTCCAGCCTGCTGTTCATTCCATAAAGCATGGTTCTCATTTTGCATATTGAACCCTTTACGTCTATTATGTTATTTATCTCTGTGTTAATCGTCTCACTGAGGCCTTCCACTCTTTTCTCAAGTTGAGCAAGTTATCTTTATGATCATTACTTTAAATCCTCTATCAGGCATGTTACTTTTATCTGTCTTACTTAGATGTCTGGCTGTGGCCTTATCTTGTTCTGTCATGTGGAATAAATTTCTGTCTTCTCATTTTCTCTAGGTCTCTATGCCTGTTTCTATGTGTTAGGAAAGCCAGTTACATCTCCTATTCTTGAGGGTAATGGCTTTATGAAGAAGAGCTTCTGTAGTGTTCTGTGGTGTAGTGTCCCATGTTCCCCGGGACCTGGCATTTCAGAGTGTCTCCAGTGTGTGCTGTGTGCACTCTGCTATTGGGTCCTGGCCACTTTTCCTTCAGGCCAGTTATCTGCAGAGGCTCTCTTAGTTGTGGGTAGTGTTTAGTCCCTGGCCCAAATGTGGCCAGTTTTGACAAGGTGTGCTCTGGTCTGCTTGTGAAATGATACCTATCTACACCACTGCTGAAACCGAGGCCCCCCCAAATTCCCACAACAGGAGACATGGTGTGAGCAGGGGTTTGGGCCAGTCTCCTGGCAGAGGGGCTCCAACACCCTGGGACTGAGACAAGCATGACTGGGAGGGGCAATTCCACCAGAGTGGGGGCAGGGGTGGTGGGACTTGGTGTAAGTTACCTAGTGAGTGTCAGCACGGTGCCGGTTCTGCCAGGTGGTCCTGTGCGTATGCTGAGGGGTAGGGGAGAGAAATGGTGCCTGCCAGTTCCTTAGTTCTCAGAGGGGTCTCTGTGAATGCTGCCTCTCTGCAACATGCTCCGAGATGAGCAAATAACCTCCCCACTGTGTGCCCCAGGTGCTCTTCAGATAGCTGTTTCCACACTGTATGTCTGCAGGCTGTTTACCTGCCTTTTCTCCAATAGCAGTACAATGTCCCTGGGTTCTACCCCAGCCAAGCCTATCGACCTTTAAAACTCCAGGCTTTAAGTAAGCCCCGCTGGTTGCAGGAAGTCATGAAATTTGGCCCCTCTCACTTTCCAAGTCAATTCCTGTGGGGGTTCGTCTTCCCCGTGTGCTCCCCTGTGTGCTAGTCTGTCTCTTGCCCTTCTCTGCAATCATGGCTCCCTCCCCACCACCGCAGCCATGATCCGTTTCTCTCCCAAACCATCCATGTCTCCACACCTCCTACCTTCTTTGATGTAGCCTCTTTTCTCCCTTTAGTTGTAGAATTTTTCTGTCAGTCTTCAGGTTGACTTCTGGGGTATTTAGGTGTTGATGGGACAAGGCGAGCCTAGGATCCTCCTATTCCATCACCATCTTCCCTTCCAGTCTCTTTTTAGATAATTTTGAGGATACAATTCCCATTTTGGGAAGTCAAATTTTTTTCCAAATTTTGCCAACTGAAACTACCTGGCCCCAGCAGCTCCTCTCCACTAAGCTGTGGACAGAGACAGGAGCCCCAGAAATGTGAGGATGCCTGAGACCCACGTGAGGTCCCTCCCATGCCGCTACCAATAAGGCCCCCAGAGCGTCTCCCACACCAAAACTGAACAAAAGCAAAAACAGCAGAAGGTGCTAGGGGAGGGATGACTTTGGTGAGGACCCTGCTATGCTCATGCAGGAGGGTGGGAGGGCTGCACATCTATACCCTAAGAATTGTATACTGAGTGTGCAGTGCAGGAGGAAGATGGTGTCCAGGGAGGGGGGTACGGAGACAGAAAACAGACATGATGGATTCCAGTTATGCTCTAAAACCACAAATGAACTGTGGACGGAATCAGCATCCAAGTGATAATTGTTAATGAAGACCCTTAAGCAAAGACAGTTTTTATTCTGATTGGAGAGAAAAGGCAATTTTATACCTAGAGGGCAAGATGAACACAAGAGGTTGTCTAGGGGTGGAAGAGGGGACTGGAGGTTCAGTACGGTGACAAGCAATGGGACAGTACTACTTCTGCCCTGTGGTAAATCTAGCCCTGGGGTGGGTATGAGGAGTGCAATGGCCTTTAGAAGCCTTGAAACCTTAGCATCACAATGCAATCCCGTGCTCACACACTCATGCCTTAGCTTCCCATCCAATCCTTACGTTTTCCCCTTGAGAAGGAGTGTCACCCACCAACCCACTCTCCCCTGTGTAGGATAGACTAGGCCATAAGTCACGCCTGGCCCCAGATGGCAACAAATCCCAACGTCAGTGCTCACCTCTGCGGGGCCTGGATTAAAACTTAGTGTGCCACAAGAGGCTACCCAGCAGCCAGGCCCCAGGGTCCCGTACCTGATAAATGGCTTCATCACAAGCATTCTGAAGGCCCAGGTTCACCATCGTGTTCTGCAGTGTGCGGCCCATGTAGAATTCCAGGGAAAGATAATAGATGCGCTGAGGAGGCAAAAGAAAGCATTTCAGATTTTGTATTCCATCCCCGCACACAAGGAAGATTAGGGTGATGAGCAAATTCATAAGAGCACCTCCTGAGGTGTTTCATTTGGGCTACCCACACACCCTCAAATGGGCTCACTCCCTATGCCAAGCCTTGGCCAACCTCAGCTTTCCAAGGGCAGCATTCAGGACCCTTCTACCGCAGAGCCTCTGCTCAGTGCCCTGCTGGATGTAAGTTGGCCTCCCCCAGATGGCAGGAGGCAGGGCAGGGCAGCGCTGGTGAACAAGGCTCCCAGAATAGACAGAGCCAGGTCTGACCTTAGCTTGGCCTCTTCCCCACCACGGGCCCTTGAGTAAATGACCTCTTCACCTCTCTAACACAGGATAAAACCACCCTGTGACGGGGGAGTACTCTCAAGTATTAACAGCTTCTGACACCCACGTTAAGTACTCAGTAAACATCACCTAGTCAACACAACTGGATGGATGGATGGATACATCCATTTCCCCTGGGCCCAAGTCTGGATAGTGTCTGCTGCCTGACTCAGGGGGACTGGGATATGTGACAGTCCCTGTAAACAAGAAGGAGGACCACCCACACTCACTGGGAGCTGAGTGGGGTTCTAAGCCCTTCCCATGAGTGGTACCAATTACTCCTCACAACCCCCCAGTGGGCCATGAGGCAGCAGTGGCTGAGCCACACTCTGGCCCTCAGTCTTGCTCTTACACGGGACTCCATGCTGCTTCCTGCCATCAAAAGTAAAGCCTGGGAAAATAAATGGGGAAGAAGGGAGAAATGTTCCTTACAGGAGAATTCCAATGAATGTACGCAGATGGAACGAGTGGGACGGAAAATCACCACGGGTACAGCACAGTGTAACTGCCGCAGACAAGGGCCACCGCTGAACCCTGAAACCAGCGGGCACAGCTTTACAGACTAATGGGGTATCTGCCAGCCTCCAACGTCTCCCCCAAAGTATTTATCGATTACCATGGTGGTGGTAACAAATGTCCGAAAATTCTGATATCCTTCCCCTCAGCAGGTGGTGCCCAATTCCCTCCCCTGAGGGGGGCTGGATTGGGGTGACTCCCATCTACTAAACAGTCTGGGACGGGAAACCGTAACTTCACAGGGGAGGGACCTGGCTGTGCCACCTTCCTCAGGTGACAAGGATAATACCATCAGTGCCAGGTTATGGTGATACGCTGTGATGAGAAGGTACTCTTTCTTTCCAAGCGCCCCACCCAGACTAATCAGGAAAGAGCCTTGGACAGGCCCCTATCTAAGGGTCATTCATCAATTTGCCAAGGTCATGAAAGACAAGGAGAGACCAACAACCATCACAGATGGGAGAAGATTAAGGAGACATAATAACTAGGGGACCCCGGATGTGATCCAGAGACAGAGATAGTATTAGAGGAAAAAGTGGTAAAATCCGAAGAAAGTGCTGAGCCAGTGCGAGCTCATTTTGATAACCGTGCTATGGTCATGCAAGGAGAGAGTGCTACACAGTACTCCACACTATCTTTGTGACCCTCTGCAAATCTACTCTTGCTCCTAAATAAAAAGTTACAAAGCAAAACCAGGCCTTGAAAAGGGGTGTGTCTGTGAGTGTGTGCATATGCACACTGATGAGTGTGTATGTGTCTCGGATTCAGATGTGAATCCATGGGGAAGTATGGACTGGACTGGACTATGATTTTCTCTTTCCAGCAGGCTAAAATTTTCAAAATACAATTTAAAAAAAATCAGCTTCTCTCGCTGCTGCAGAATGCAGGGAGAGAATTCACTTTCCACAGACTGTCGACAGGGCTTCTTGGCCAGGGTTTTACTGGGATGTCCCGCCTTTACAGGGCAACCTGCCTAAGCCACTTTGGGACTTGCATTCCGTGCAGTGACCCTCTTAAACTATATGTCTTTATACCCCATTTAGAATTCTGACCAGCAGCTGAGCAGAAACCTTTTGAGAAAATTGCACGGTTTCAGTTTCAGCAGTTGTCGCCCTCTGGGTTTTTACAGCTGTGTTCATACCATTATATCACACTTTCATGCAGCAGTTTTTAGACAATTCTCCTCAGAACCAAGAAGCAGCTTCAGAGGGTGAGCCAAGGTAGAAAGGGGCTCCCAATTTGCAAAATACACCGGCAAGGGAACAAAGAAAATGGAGATAACCCATGTCAATGGATTGGAAGGCTTACCACTGATAAGATGGCAATACTTCCAAAATGGATCTACAGATTCAACATAATCCCTGTCAAAATTCCAGCTGGCTTCCTTGCAGATTGATAAACTGATTCATTAGATGGATTAGGTGGATCGATCAGATGGAAATGCAAAGGATCCGGAATAGTCAAAACAATCTTGCAAAAGGAGGACAAAATTGGAGGACTTACACTTCTTAATCTCAAACCTTATTACAAAACTACAGTCAGCAAGACTGTGTGGTACTGGCATAGGCGTGGACACAAAAGGCAATGGAATAGAGGCCCAAAATCAACCCTCACATTTATGGTCAACTGATTTTCAACAAGCATGCCCTGATAATTCAGTCGGAGGAATAATCTCTTTAACAAATGGTGCTGGGACAACTGGATATTCACATGCAAAAGAATGAAGTTGGGCTCCTACCTCACACCATATACAAACATTAATTCAAAGTAGATCAGAGATCTAAATGTAAAAAACCATACAACTTTGAGAAGAAAACACAGAAGTAAATCTTCATGACCTTGGAATAGGCAATGGTTTCTTTTGTATGACACCAAAAGAAAAAACAGATAAATTAGACTTCATCGAAATTAAAAACTTTTGATAACATGAAGTAAAAAGGATGGGAAGGAATAGAATGGGAGAAAATATTTGCAAATCATATAACTGACAAGAGATTTGTATCTAAAATATATATACAACTTAATAATAAAAAGACAACCCAATGGTTTGTTGGCAAAGGATCTGAACAGACATTTCTGTAAAGAAAATACACAGTGCCGGGGCACCTGGGTGGCTCAGTCATTAAGCGTCTGCCTTCGGCTCAGGTCATGGTCCCAGGGTCCTGGGATCGAGCCCTGCATCAGGCTCCCTGCTCAGAGGGAAGGCTGCTTCTCCCTCTCTCACTCCCCCTGCTTGTGTTCCCTCTCTCGCTGTCTCTCTGTCAGATAAATAAAATCTTAAAAAAAAGAAATCAAGTACCAGTATATGCTACAATAAGAAGGAACCTAGAAAATATTACACTAGATGAAAGAAGCCAGTCACAAAGGATCACATATTATATGATTCCCTTTATAAAATATAGATAACCCTATAGAAAGAAAGTAGATTAGTAGCTGCCTAAATAGGAGCGGGTAGGGAGTTTGGGGTGGGTGATAGCTAAAAGCTGTTGGTTTCTTTCTGGGGGTAGTGCAAATGTTCTAATATTGACTGTGGTGATGATGGCCCAACTCTGTGAATATACTGAAACCACTGAATTGTATACTTTAAATGGGTGAATTGCATGGTATCTGAATTTTTATCTCAAAGCTGTTACCAAAAAATATAAAATATTAGGGGCACCTGGGTAGCTCAGTCAGTTAAGCATTCAACTCTTGATTTCGGCTCAGGTCATGATCTCAGGGTCCTGGGATTGAGCCCCGTGTTGGGCTCTGCACTCAGCAGGGAGTCTGCTTGAGGATTCTCTCTCCCTCTCCCTCTGCCCCTCTCCACCCCGTGCATGCTCTCTGTCCGATAAATAAATAAATCTTTAAAAATATGTATATACATAAAATAGTAAAAATAATGTACAAAATTTTGAGAGTACAGTAAAATAAATGTTGTACATTAAGTAGAACACTTCTAATTGTAAAGATGATAGAATAAAAATGCTTCTGCCCATTTTTCCCTAAAACACACTGATGGGAAGTCAGAACAGGCAGAACTAAATTAGAAAACTGGCTCTCATACCTGGCAACCACCAGGTTGCAAGGGGAGGACAAGGGTGATTGTCCACTGCTGGCCTCTGCTTTTCTCACGCCGAGGAATGGATAAAGCACTTTACACTCACATGCACGTGCACTCACACACACCCACAGATGTATGCATTCGTGTACACAGCCACACATGGGCACATGCATGCATGCACATTCACATGCACTCACACCTGTACACAATTCACGCACTTGCACACATGCACTCACACATGTGGATACACACAAAAACATGTACACACTCATAAATCTGGGGACCAAGGAAGGGCTGTTCGCTCCAGGCTGCACACACCCTCCAGGTCCCTGCCCCATTATCCAGTTGCAAACAGCTAGTTCAGGAAGAATTCCCTCCACTCAGGGAGATAGAACTCAGGATCTACATCCTGAAACTTAAAACAGGAAAACTTGCCCCTTTGAGGCTGCATGGAAAAAAAAATAATAAAAAAATAAAACAGGAAAACAGAACAAGGAAATAAAATGGGCAAACAACACCCATCATTTATCAAGAGACAAATATAATTTGTTAGTACAGACTAATCCAAGATGTCAAGAAACACTGATAAGGTAACAAAAGGACAGCACCAAGTCCGGGGAAGAAAAATAAATAAGAGATAAAACCGCCATAGAAATGGAGGTACCACTAAATGCAAAACAGGGGCAAGGCTGGAAACAAAGACCTGGCTGGAAAAGTGAAGAAAATGCGGGAGAAGCATGAAAAAGAGTGGAGAGGAAAATATCCATATGGAATACAAAGACTACCTAACATCTGCATGATTAGTGTCCCTGAAGAAAGGACCCGAATAAAACATTAAGAACATTTTTTCAGTATAATTGAAGAAAACTTTCCAAACACAGCTGAATCTACAAATTCAAAGAGAATGCATACGTACAAAAAAACCATGCCGAGTTCCGTCTTTGACAGACTTTTCTCACTTTCCTGAGACACAAACTCAGCAGCGCAGTGAATCCACAGCCACGCGGAGGACAGCTGCTGTCACCACTGCTCATGGCCCATTGCTTCTTCTCAGACGCTATTTACT